AGAGATATTATGCTTTATGATGCTAACCATGCAGTAGTAGCAGATGCCTAGTTACGCTCATTTAAATATTTACAGTAATTTTATTAAAACATTTTCTTTTATTGTCCTTTTACTTTTGCTTTTGTAATCACAAGACCTTTAGAATAAAAAACTGTAGTAGGTTTACCTAGGGTGGATAACTATAAAACCAAAACACATACCTATTAATTAATTGGATTAATAGTGATTGAAAAAAAATATAAGACTTAAAGTTCTTACTTGAAGCTGTCACTTCGACGAGGAGCTTGGAGCTAACATTATGGACAGCGTGACAAGAATGTAGAGAAGAACAACTTCGAGAGAGCAAATAAGTCTACAACAACAAACTTTTCCTTAAAATCAAATAACAAACCATAGGAATTCAAGGTAGTCCGTCTAGCACGACGTAAATCCTCAGCTTATCTTTAAGCCCTTGCATAGCCATGTTGTGCAATATAAGCCCTAACTCGCTGTAGACTCTGAGGTTGTCGTTCGTTACTACATAAACCCTCATATCTTCCAGGCTATTTGTATGACCTTGTTACGCAAGTGTAAGCCTTAAATAATAAAATTGGTAGACTGAAACATCTAATAATATTTCCTCTAAATTGAAGCCAAACTATAAGATAGTTTAGGAAGTCTCCGAGGCTTGCCTCAGGATCCATTGAATCCCCTAGTTTTCTCCCTTTAGATTCTGAAAGTAACTATTTCTATTCTGAGCCATTCCCTTTTGATTTTCTTATGTTAAACCTTGAAAATCCCAAACTTTGAAATTATTGAAGACAATACCTTTTAATCTAAATCGAGAGTTTTCTTAGGCAATGTTGATCATCTAAGATGTACTTAATCATTTCTTATCTTTTATATTGGATAGGGGAACTTATCAATAAACCTAAAGAATTCACAAACTAAAACGGATGTCATAATTCATTTAGTTTATTTAATCGAGTCTTACTATCAAGTAATGTGTATATTCCTAAGAATAGGTACGTCACTTAAGGTATTGTGCTCATTTATTTAAACTATTGCATGTATGAGATCGGTTTAGTCTCGTATTTTCAAAAATTAAAATATTATAAATTAAATATATTTTTTCATGTTGACGATCGGTAGAGAAATCACCCCGACTTCTGTTGGAATAGCAATCAAGGTGCACGAAACTAGTAATAAGAGAGTAATCAACCTAACCCTTTTGAGAATTGGAACAATCAGGGTAATTCTAACTTGAGACCTTCTTATACGTCTAGTTTTAACATAAACCAACAAATCAAAGAGAAGAAGTTGTCTCGAGATGAAGTTTTTTTGTAAATAAGGAATCAGTTATAAAGCCAAGGAGTAGCTACTAGGAATATAACAAACTAATTGGGGCAGATTATCAACTCAATTAGTAACCGACCCCAAAGAACTCTTCCTAGTAACACTGAGATCAACCTAAGGAAAAGAATAGGGAGCATGTCAAAGAAGTCAAGTTGAGGAGTGGAAGAGAGTTGGAGGAAGTGGTCCAAAAATATTGTGATGTGGAGAAAGAGAACTTGGAACCTGAAAGACTTATGGAAGACGTTTCCAAGGATTTAGGAAAACCTGTCTCACTGTTTAGGAATAAGTTTGAAAGACCATCACCACCATTTCCTTAGAGACTCTAGAAATAAAAACTGGATCAGCAATTTTTTTTATTCTTAGAAGTATTCAAGAAGTTGACGATCAACATTTATTTTGTGCAGGCTTTGGAGCAGATGTCTAGCTATGTGAAGTTCATGAAAGATATTCTTAATGAGAAGAGAAAGTTTGGATATTATGAGATGGTAGCACTCAGCAAGGAGTGAAGTGCTATCTTTCAACAGAAGCTTCCTCATAAACTTAAGGTATCTAGGAACTTTACTATCCCATGTGCTATTGGAGAGTAGTTTTGTGGGAAAACTTTATGTAATCACGGTGTCAGTATTAACCTTATGCCTCTGTCTATTTTAAAGAGGTTAGGATTAAAATCGGTGTCTTCAACTACTGTAACCCTTCAGCTGTTTGATCGCTCGATCACTTTTCTGAGAGGGGTTATAAAGGATGTCTTCGTGAAGCTGGATAAATTTATCTTCTCAATTGATTTCATTGTATTTGATATAGAGGAAGAGAAAGATATCCCCATCATACTAGGTTAGCCTTTCGTAGACACTAGAAGAGTAATGAATTACATGCAAAAAGGAGAGCAGATAATGAGAGTGAATGATGAGGAGGTAACAGTTAATGTGTTAAAATCTATGAAGCTTCCTTATGCTTATAATGAAGATGCAAGTTACAAGATGGATCTAATTGACTATTTGTGTAACAACCACTTTCGTGAGATTTGTGAAGTTTAATCCGTGGAGAAAGATTTGAGTGAGGATGATTCTACAAATTGTATGGACAAATCAGCTCTACTAGTTGAAGATAACCTGAGAATTCTTAGGGAGAGATTTGTGATACTGGATACTACTGAAAATTGTAAACTTATTGTTACTTCCATTAAGGAAACCCCAGAACTTGAGATGAAGGTTCTTCCTAAATATTTGAAGTATGCTTACTTGGGAAGTCAGCTACATTGCCGGTAATCATATGCTTAGAACTGAGTAGCTTACAAGTAGAAAATTGATGACCTTTTTTAGGAACTTTAAGAAAGCTTTTGGATGGACCTTAGCAGACATAAAAGGGGATTAGTCTTCTTATATGTATGCATAGGGTCCTGATGGAAGAAAATCAAAAACCCTAAGCGAATCCTCAAAGGAGATTAAACCTTGTCATGAAATAAGTTGTCAAGAAGAAAATTTTGAAGTGGCTTGATGCAGGCATTATCTATCCAATTTCAGATGGTACTAAGGTTAGACGTTCCATTGTGTTCCAAAGAAAGCGGTATGATTGTGCTAGTAATGGAACATAATGAATTGATTCCCACTAGACATATCACCGGGTGGCGTATATTTATTGATTACTTGAAATTAAACTCAAACATTTGGAAAGATCATTTTTTTTACCTTTCTTAGACCAGATGTTGGATAGGCTAGCTGACCACCCATGTTTCCACTTTTTGAACAGGTTTCCTGGTACCATATGATTCCTATTGGCCCTGAGGATCAGGATATGACCACATTCACTAGTCCTTATAGGGCTTTTGCTTTTAGATAAATGCCCTTTGGGTTATGTAATGTGACTGTGACATTTCAGCTGTGATGACATTGATATTTTGTGATCTGTTTTGAGAAAGGAATGGAAGTATTCATGGAAGATTTCTCAATGTTTAACCCTTCGTTTGATTGCTACTTAGATCATCTGGCTAAGGTACTGAGACGTTGTGAAGGAACCAATTTTGTTCTCTATTATGAAAATGTGACAATTTATGATCTCCGAAGGAATTATTTTAAGACACAAAATTTCTAGGAGTGATATGGATGTAGATCCAACAAAAATTTTGGTGAATGAAAAAATTGCCCCATCCACTTCAGTGAAGGGAGTAAAGAGTTTTCTGGGGCATGGTGAGTTTTATTGGAGTGACAATAAGAATTTCTCCAAAATTACTAAACATTTATGCCCTCTGTTGGAAAAGAATGTCTTATTTGAGTTTGACCATGATTGCCTAACTACCTTACAACTTACAACTCATTAAGCCAGAACTCTCATACTCTATTTATTGAGCTACCTCAGGCATTATTAGTCATGTTGACCATGAAATAACTCCTTAATTTGATATAGAGTTCAAAACCTCGCATGAAGACTCATTAAATCATTGGCTCAGCAAGGGTGTTCACACAAAAATCTTTCTATTTATTTATAGTACTTGTTGACCGAGAAGTGATACAAATTGGCAGAACTCATTAAGTATAGTTGCTCTCAATTTGAAACTTGCATAGGCTAAACAAAAAGCGCCATTTAAACGTGATACACAGCTAGCAAGTTACATAAAAATTATTCATGCTTCTTCTTGTAGTTCTATATGTAGATTATCTTATACTGTCAATTTCAATCGTTGCCCATAAATAGTTGTTTTCTCTTCAAACATAAAAATAATGTAACCTTTGTACTTTTAGCCATAACGCTCTCCAAATCTTCTTAGTATCTCACATCTTTTCTTATTAGATCGATATGACTCATTTTTCTCTATGTAAGAAGCCAACTAATAATAATTTTAACCCAACCATTAAAAGGAATTTGTGGGATTTCATGTTTCATTCTTCCGACTATTCCTGCAAGTATTATTTGTATTTTAGCAGAGTCTGGCTATCTTTGTTGAATATTATTAAGTATAATAATTCCCTTATAAAAATTAACAGTTATGGCATCCATGAAAATTCTTTCAAAACAATGCATCCCTAAAAAAATTCCAGATCGAAGGTGAAGCATAATGTTTACCATCAGTACATTATAAAATGAACAAAATCCATTCCTTTTTTCGGAAGCACAAGCAATGAAGAATTCTTAAGAAATATCGCATGATGAAGGAATCGTAAACAAACAGCTAGCGTACTGAATAAATAATACGTTGAAAATTAGGTGAGGATATCCTCAACTATTTAATCATTATAAGCTTTAAGTGATTAAATTTCTTTTGATATAAACATAATATAATTTAAATTAAATAAATATTCATTCTTAATTAATTGCGTATAAAACTTATTTGAACCAAAATTCGATTAATTTTATAAAAGTTCTCTGAAATAATACTTAAAATGTGTCTCCCAAAAAAAAAAATTTTTAAACATGACGCTCATAAATATTCATTCTTAATCGGAGAACGACTTCGTAGAAAAGTCTGTCCTGAAAATGGCAAATATTTTAAACATGACGCTCAGAAATTATTACTTAATCAAAGAACGACTTCGTAGAAAAGTCTGTCCTGAAAATGGGCGTTCAGGATTGCATCTTGTCCTGGAACTCGGCCGTTTTGTCCTTTTAGCAGTCTTATGCAGTCTGGATAAAAAGTAAATTTACAACGCAGTCTCCGTTCCCACCCTGTTTGCGACCCAACGCGGAACCCCTCCCGTCAACCACTATAAAAGCCACCTCCTTCCCCCTTTCCGCACTTCCTATCCTCTCTCTCCATACTGTTGTTTAGTGGCGATGGCCGGAGGAGCGATTGTTAAAGCCCACGGCGATGGAAAGGAATATCCAGGGAAGATGACGTTGTTCGTTTTCCTCACATGCCTCGTGGCTGCCACCGGTGGCCTTATCTTTGGCTACGACATAGGCATCTCTGGTAATAAAACCCAACTCATAACATCTCCCCTCTTAATCGCTCTTATAAATCTATGATTGTTGTGTTACTTAATCGGATGATGGACTGATTGTAGGTGGGGTGACATCGATGGATTCATTTCTGAGAAAATTTTTTCCGGCGGTGTTCCGTAAGGAGAAGGAAGATAAGAGCACGAATCAGTACTGTAAGTTTGATTCCCAGCTGCTGACGACGTTCACTTCATCGCTTTATCTTGCGGCACTCATCGCTTCCTTCTTTGCGTCGACGGTGACGCGTGTGTTCGGCCGGAAGTGGTCCATGTTTGGCGGCGGCGTCACGTTCCTCGTCGGCGCTGCTCTTAACGGTGCGGCTAAGAACGTTGCCATGCTTATTATCGGTCGAATCCTTCTTGGAATTGGCGTGGGGTTTGCCAACCAGGTGAGCACGCCTAGAAGGTTTTCCGGGCCCTTTTTTGTTTAATTTTTTTCTAAGACTTTATTTAAATTTAATAGTACATAAATATGTATAATTTAAATTTATATGTATAAATTTACATTTTACTATATGTTTTATCATTTCGATTGTATTTTTTAGCCAAAAGATTGATTAGAGAGTTGCCTTTTCTTCGTCGGGCTTTGTTTTTTGTTTTTGGCCGCACAAGACACCGTTGTTATGTTAATTTAATTATTATATTTTTCCACCCAAGAAATTTTAGTCATAATTGTAGTGCTTTTGTTTAATTTCGGAGTTGTTAGGTTGTCTCCTTCGAATCTTTATACAAATAACTGAACAAGTCATAGTTTGCGATGTATTTGGTCTAACCACAACTATTTATATGTGTAAATATTTCAATTTTTTTTTGTTTATATATAGCTTATTATTTTTTTTTTGAAAAAAATGCAATTATTTAATGTTCTACTAAATAGTATTGCTTTGCTTGTGTTTGTCTTGTAAAATTTACTGTGAAAGATACTCTTTTAACGGTCGATGTTACTTGTGGCCGGTTGCTTCATAATTCAGTTTTGGAGTAAGACTTAGGATTCAGATGAGAGAGCATATGAGAATAGACCAGTCATATTTAGATATTCTAGGCATGGAATCTTCTCATTGTCTAGACTTTTATAATCCTGTCTCCATCGATTATTTGTCATCCTAAACCCACATAACCAGTGGCAAGAAATTGGTAGGAAAAAAGTGTCCAATTCTAATTAGAATAGTTATAATTAGAAAATAAATCGGAGAAAAGGTAGAAGTCTATTAAGTTTTGATGAGCAGTTTTTGTCCACATGATTAATGGGAACTTCCTGCGCGAAATTTTAGTTCTCAATTAATGAAGTCAATTTTTCTGGATATGTATGTATTACAATTTATATGTAAGACTTTTTTTTTTCTTCTGTTATAAGACAGTTAATTTAAGACGAAAAAAAAATGTACTTTAAATTTGAGTAAATTATCCTGTAGAATAAAAAAAATCATGAAATTTATTTTAAATTAGTCTTAAAATACTCAAAAATATATTAACTTGACTTCGCTATTTTAATAATTGTGCTTTTAAGAAATTACTTGGGCCATGTGAATCGATTAAGACTGGCTGCTCCGATGGCAACACCGATATTTCATGACTGGACCACACAATTGACACTGAAAACCACACAAAGCAAAGATTTGACTTTTTTTCATGTAAATTAAATTTCCTCGGAACATGGAAAAATAATTACGCAAGTTGCTCTTTATTGAAATTTTTCTTTAAAAACTCAGAAAATAGTTCAAGAAAATCCTCTAACAAAATCGTAAAACAGTTTAAGACTTCAAATTAATCAACCAAGAACAGATAACCAAATTAAGTTTCATTTAATTACATTATTTAGTAGGGATAATTACATTATTATCTTAGTAGCTTGTGATGCAAATCTTTTCTGCTATACTACAGTTTTGCTAATTTCCTCTTGCAATATTTGAAAATTAACTACAGTCCGTGCCCGTGTACCTATCGGAGATGGCACCGGCGAAACTTCGCGGCATGCTCAACATCGGCTTCCAACTCATGATCACAATCGGCATTCTTGCCGCCAATCTCATTAACTACGGAACGGCCAAAATCAAAGGCGGCTGGGGCTGGCGCGTGAGCCTCGCCCTTGCGGCAGTCCCCGCCGGCATCATCACCCTCGGCTCCCTCTTCCTCCCCGACACCCCCCACTCCCTCATCGAGGCTACGACGACAAAGCCCGCACCATGCTCTGCAAAATCCGCGGCACCGATGACATCCTCGACGAGTACGCCGACCTCAAAGCCGCCAGCGAAGAGTCCAAAACCGTCAAGCATCCATGGCGCAACATCGTTCAACGCCGTTACCGTCCCCAACTCATCATGGCCATCCTCATCCCCTTCTTCCAACAGGTCACGGGCATCAACGTCATCATGTTCTACGCCCCTGTTTTATTCAAAACACTTGGTTTTGGCAACGACGCTTCGCTTATGTCGGCAGTCATCACCGGCCTCGTCAACGTCTTCGCTACCTTTGTTTCAATCTTCACCGTCGACAGACTCGGCAGACGAAAGCTGTTTCTGGAGGGTGGTGTACAGATGATTGCTTGCCAAATAATAGTGGGAACGCTGATCGCAATAAAGTTTGGAACTTCAGGGGAGGGACACTTGTCGCATACTTACGCCGGCGCAGTGGTGGCTTTCATCTGCATCTACGTTGCTGGTTTCGCGTGGTCGTGGGGGCCGCTTGGGTGGCTTGTTCCATCGGAGATTTTCCCGTTGGAGATCAGATCAGCCGGGCAGAGTATTACGGTTTCGGTGAACATGCTGTTCACTTTTATCATCGCACAGGCATTCCTTGCCCTGCTTTGCAGGCTCAAGTTTGGACTTTTCTATTTCTTCGGTGGATGGGTGGTGATAATGACTATCTTTGTGGCTTTCTTCTTGCCCGAGACGAAGGGGGTGCCAATTGAGGAGATGGTGCTTGTCTGGAAGGGACACTGGTTCTGGAGCCGCTTCATTGCCGACGAAGATATTCATGTCGGGTCCACACTTGAGATGGCAAAGGGTAAAAACGGTGGTGGCGCTACAGCCTCCGTATGATCGCCGGCGTATGGATTCAGGTAGGAGGAGGAGTTAATGACATTACCACGCACAAGGCAAAAAGAAAAGAAAAAAAACTTTTTTCCCGTTATTTTTTGGGGGGTGTAAAATGTTTGTATGTTTAGTTTGTATCATTGAGTTGGTCTATGTGGACCGGTGTCATCTCTACTGCCCAGTGTTGGGAGAAGTTTGATTTAGTTATTTTCTTTTTTTTTTAATATTTATTGTCGAGAAATATTTTTATTTAAATATATATATATAAGCTTGTGGGAAATATTGCTCTCCCAGTTTTTCTCTTGGCGTTTAGAGAATTGGACGGATGTGGTTTACCTTTTATTCTTAGCCTTGCCCATGAATTGGCTGCTTTGATTGTTTTGCAGTATTTGCAGTTCACAAATAAATAAAAAAATAAATAAAACAAAGAAAAGACAATTTTGAATTGTTCTTCTCTGTTATGATAGCAGTTTTATTGTTATTATTTTTGGCTATTTTCTTTTTACGTTGGCATATTGAGCGACTTTGAAGTTCAAATTCTGTCGGTCAATAAAATTATGAGCCCAAGTAGTCGAATAAATATTTATTGAATGACATGACATGCATCCTTTTGGCTCTTTTTTTTTTTTTTTTTTGGAAATATTACAAATTTATTTTTTTTCCATACATATTTCATTTTGATTCACGGATCAGATTAGCTGCCATGATGTGGATTTGAATTGCTTCAAAATATTTGTCCATCGTGAGTCAATTGTGAGCCGTTTTATGGCAATTTAGCTTGAACGTGAGCCTCACAGTTTTAAATTTGTACACTATTAAGTTACTCAATGCTTCCTAGTTGCTCGAAATTTTAACTCAGATTATTTGCCAAAGTATTGGCTTTAATTTGAACTACATCCTAACATGCTGAATTCAAATCGTCCACTTTCTAAATTTCACATCCTTAAGTTATCAACTGACATAAATATGTTTAGGTACAATATTCATCAATCAGATAATTGTCTCATGGACAACAAATTGTAGGGTATCTTCATTTTTCATCCCGAACTCTCACTAATCAAGGTATTGTCCGCTTAGCCTAATGGCCTCTGGGTTTTGCCCAATTGACATAAGTTCCCAGAAGGTCACCAATCCTTGGAATGCTTCACGACGAGTGCATTTAACTTTGAAGTTTCAAATGTAATTCCATTGTTGCATCGGAAGGTACTTTATACCTAGAATCATCTACAATGTACATGAGATTCTAGAGGCGGCTCTTATAGATTCAAGAGGTGGTTCCCACCATATAGCGCTGTGTCCCTTTTAGAATTCAAATGACAGCCTCAAAACATAGCACTTTGTTCAGTATGACACTTATTTCTCATCTTTTCGCTGGTGCAATGCTTTAATACAATTTCAAAAAGCTCGAAATTTAAACCATCAAGATATTGCCCGCTTTGGCCAAATGACCTCATAGTTTTGTCTCGTTGGTGCAACTTCCCATGAGGTCACCTATCCTAGGAGTGTTCTATGATGCACACACTTAACTTTGGAGTTTCTAATAAAATTTTACTATTACACAAGAAAGGAACCTTAATGTCTAAGCATCGACTTCAATCTGCTTAAAGAGTTTCACAATTTTTCTAGGAAACTCACTTCAACTTTCATTTACTGCAAAACTATACTAATTTCACTTCAACTTTCATGTACTCCAACAATACACAATGATCTACATAAGATTTAACTCACTAATTTTTATTTAGTTATAGCTAGTTAACTTTTTAACATCAACCTTAACATCTACGTAAAATTAGAGGGCCAATGTCCACACTGATAGTATTAAAAATCACACAATCCACATCTCATTTCTTGAATTGAATTAACTGATAATTATTTGAATAGGATTTTCTTATTTAAGATAAATTAGAAGTGATTCTTTATACATCAACTCTTTAATAAGAAATTCTCTGAGAGATATATGTTTTCTCGACTTCTAGCATCATAAGTGTATCTTGTTTAGTTAGTAAGACATTTGTTATCTTCTACATATAGCTTTAGATTAATTAGCCTCTTAATTTGATGTGATGAGCATGGAATATGTCGAAGACCAATAAAGTTAAAGGGTTCACTCAAATGATTGAAAATGATCTCCATAATTAGCAATTTTCTAGTTATGTCTCTTCAAAATGATTATATAATTTGGATAACTCTTGAAAAAGTTAATTCATAACATATTTAAGCATTTTTCAAGGCACTTCTCTTTTTCTCATTACCTGCATGGATGAGAATCAGTTATGTGAATTATATGATGATTTTGATCGAATCTTAGAGATTCTATAGTAATTTCTTCTCATGATGAAGAAATTTATCTCTTAAAGAGGTTCATGAAACTCTTCATCCTCTTTGATATACAAAATATTAGGGTTAGCCAACATACAATTTCTTAATTTAGGTCATAAAGACTCAACTATGATTGAAATTAAATAGTGTGTTGTTGTGTTTCTGTATATTGAAGTTGGACCTAATTAACTATTTTTTTAGTTTTGAGATGACAAAATTCCTTCTCATTATTAAAGACATAATGAAAAGGTGTAAGCTCATTAATGCATGCTAATTTTTGTTCTTTCTTATTTTAATTACTTTCTTTCTTAACTTTAAATAGAGAAACCCACATAATGATGCCATAACTAGAACATTAGATCAAACCATTGTTCATAATTTATCATTTTATAGCGGCGAGGTTATACTTTTAATCATGAATGTGAACTAGTTTCATGAAAGACGCAAAAAAGAATATATTTGATCATAAAAAGAGAATACAATCAACCTCTTATAATTGAATGTATCAACCACTCAGAACAATAAGTTATTAGAAGTTAGAATTTATTATTGAAGATGGATTACAAAATACATAATAGTCTCATAACTATATGTGTACATATGAAGATGACTCATGTGAGTGACAAAAATCTATGAGATAAATTATTCACGTATGAAACTACATCATTATATTTATGTGCTATGATATGTTGTATAATTTATTACAACATATTGTATTCCATAATAAATTATACAACATATCGTATCACATAAAATGAAATCTTGTAAGATGGAAGATTATAAATAAAATCAAACTAGTGTAAGTCATGCAATAAAAACTAATTGTATACATAAAAATTCCCAACTGTGTAATACTCATATGAATGAAATCTTGCTCCCAAGAATTGATCACCCATCAAAATCTACTCCCTGGCTTGATAAAATCTCACACTTACTCACATAGACAAAGTACAAACGTAAACTCCCACACTATAGCTTCCAAAGTCTATCCTTCAGTTCTTCTTTCAAGAACTTTTTATGGATTATTCGTCCAAACATCCTTAGAACTGTAACACTTTTCTATATTGATGGGAAGCATTGAGGCACTGATGATGTAGCACTGAGTGCTTTCTTTGGGCACTGTGATGCTGGGTTGGAGCCTTTCTTTTATGGAAGCTATACTTTGAATTAGGATATAGGGTGTTATAACGCTGCTATTGCGAGAGTTAGGTCGCTGTTCTAATGGCATGGGAGCACTATTTTCTAGTGCTACAATGTTGTGCTCCTGTATTTTTGGCTAAAAAAAGTTGTCTTCTTTGGTCATTAAGGCTCCCTATATGTTGTGTTACAATGCTTTCTTTCTGACACTGGGGTGCTTCAACGGGGCACCTTGTGCAAGTCTTCACATTGCTTTATTCCATTGACATGCTAGGAGAGTTCTTGTATTTTGCACATTTACATAAAATATATCTAAAAAATATATAAAACAGGCAAATAAATTATACAAAAATTATTGTATCACAGCATCACATTTCACACATATAAGCTTTTCACTATAAAAAAGGCTTCACTTAATCTTATTGAATTTAATGTAAAACATATTTTCTTACCATCCCAAGTATGTATTAGAACTAACAAAACTAACCTTAGCTCTTACTAACATTCCTTCATACATAAATTCCATGGTCTTATATAGTATAGCCAACTTTTCCATATAGAACGATCAAACTGTAGATATGTGTGGAGCAAAAGAAGTTATAATCTGAGTAATGAACATCATATAGTAAAAACGAGCATTTATGAAAATGCTTACAATATAATATTTTATATTTGATAAATCAAATAAATAACAAATCACTAATCATCTATAGATATTTGACTAGCTTCTATGGTAAAAAAAGTACCTCTGTCATTTCAAGCAATAAAGTGATGAATATGATATTGTTCTCATGATGATCGATTATAATTTTGAAAAATTAAGTATTAATATTATTTATCAAAATTTTATCCAACAATCATGTCAAAGATACCAAAAGTTTTAAGATAATGTTCAACTATGAACTTAAGGAAAATATCTAAATTTATGATTATTATAAGTGTCTTATGTATAAACTTATTTTAGTATTTCCTAATTATAGTTGTCAATCAAGGACAAGGCTGTACCTTAAACTTCATTAAGGGTAAGAAAACCTAATCATTATACAATTAATTAAGGGTATGTCTATCCAAGTTGGTGCAAATGATGATAATCAAAATATTTCTTATAGAATATTATTACTTTTTTTTAAGAAGATAAAATACTCTTATGTACTTTTAAATTAAATAATTTCAAATTTTATGGATGATTTATTATCAAAATTTTTTGGGAGTTATTAGTGACTTTGAAAATTTATTCAATTTTTAGAAATATATAACCTTTACAGAATCAATAGATCTCATGAAAATAATTGATAAGTTAGTGGTAAGCTATGATTCATTTCATGAAAATTTTTTAAATTATCTAGATTATTCAATTTATTAAAACATTTAATTTTAGAAATTAAGTAGAATTTTATAAAAATTGGAATGTATAACTTTCACCTTATATGGGTTTCTTATATTTACTTGTTGCTCTCTGACCGACATTGTGCTTTTGGATGCCGAATAAATACAAAAATTTTGGTTGTTTGAGTAATCAAATGTGTCATCGAAAGTATTAAACCACCTTGAAAGGTAAAAAAATAACTTTATAATGGGTTTGATTATTTGAATAGTGAAAATGTTGGATATTTGGGCTAGTCTGCGATTAAATCCGACATGTCATTTCCTCAATCTATTTTGGAGACTAAATAGGGTTTAGATTAATTATGGGGTCTTCTCCTTCTTATAAGGGAAAACCCCTATAGTTGACTAAATTTTAAGCAACCGAATCTACTTAAGAAAGCTCTCGATTAAGGCAGAGACTTTTTCCT